TGTGTGTGTGTGTGTGTTGCAGTTCCCATGGCGATGCGTGCCTTCAGTCTGAGAAGCTCTGGCGTCAGCAGCCTTCGGGCATCATGGGAAAAACCACCAGGAGACGTGGACTCGTACACGCTGACTCTGCTGCAGGACAGGTGCGTTCAGTACAGGAAGCTCACCGACTGTAACGTACAGACCTTCAAAATAAAAGCACAGATTTCCCTCCCTGCTCTGTAATGTGGAATCCAAACATCCATGTGCTGTTTCTGCTCCTCCACAGTGTTGTTGTTCAGAACTACAGTGTCCCTGTTGGCTCTTCTTCTCTGCTGCTGGCTGGGTTGACCCCCGGCGCCCTCTACAGGCTGCAGGTGGTCACTGTCAGCGGGGGGCTGCAGTCTGACAGCACCGACCTGGAGGGACGCACCAGTGAGTCGCTCCAAACCGATATTAAAATATTATTTATACAGGAATCTTTTATGTTGAATTGTGTGTCACATATTTTTTTTACATTACATCATTACTGTCAGAAAGTTTCTTTAAGATGATGAGTTGCAGAGACACTGTAGGTGAATAGGATTTATTTTTGACTTAAAACTGGAAGCTTTGGTGTCTGTAAGAGCTGCTGAACTGGAGATTTCTGAGATATGTATTGTGAAACTCACTACAGGTTAACAGGATAAACATTTAAACTAATGTCACCATTAAACTTCCCCAGTTGGGTTAGGGTTACTTATAGTTTATGTTTAAATATGCAAATGAGGCACTTTCTAATGCTGAGTTTTGGTTAAATCTAATAGATGCAAACAGGATTATAAGTGTTATATATATATTAATAATATATTATCATATATTTGTGACTGCGAGAGTTCAAATACGGTCACTGAGTTTGTTTTCAGCCGAGCTGTGACTGCAGTTATTGTTTAAGATGTGAGGCGGTCAGTCAGACTCTTATTGTGTTAGAGACAATAATCCCGTTCAGGAGTTGTTTCCCCTCAAACAGCCGCTGTTAACAGGAAAAACAACCAGCAGAAGAATGTTAACAAACAGTTTACAGAGGACGTGACTCTCCGGACGGTTTTTATCAGATATTATTGACATTATATTCAAAAAGAATAACATAGAACTGTTTTTGTCTTAGCAGGGATTAGATAACAATCATAGCATTCATACAATCAATAAATGACATTCACACTGTATCACAGATTGTTCTCATAATCTCATCATAATGGAAATTACAGACCTTGTTCTCGTCTGTGTTGACAAACAATACGGAGGTCATTAAATATACGACATCCTAAAAACAAAAAAATACTTGGCAAGGTTAGTTTCTTTGTCTCACAACACAACACAAATTCAAAGTGTTTAACATGAGACAGAAAAGGCTTTAAGACAATAATCAGAGTTTATAAAGAATAAGGTAAAATCTATCGGTCAGATACACTTTATTGATCCCTGGAAGGAAACTGGTTGCTCAAGATACAAAACAAAGGAAAATAGAAAGAGTAATAAGTGTATGAGTAAGAATAAGTGTGTATATTATACGACTATAAACAGAAAATAAGATGTAAGTATATATAATAGAAATCTAAACCACACCAACCAAACTCAAATCCTTTTATTATTTAACAGTGGAGCCGAGGCTGCGTTATACGAACCTTTCGTTTAAAAACTATTTTACAGACATTTAAAGTCTGAGTGTGTGTGTGTGTGTGTGTGTGAGTGTGTATTATGTATTATGTGATAACATCAGAGACTTTTTAAAACAATAGAGCTAAAATGCCAAAAATGAGACACTCCCAGGGCGCACACACACACACACACTTCCTGCCCAGAGCAGTTATTGTGTTCCCACATAATGTCATAATGTTATTTTCAGACTAAATTAAACTCTGCCCCCAGCCCCTCAGATAACCTCCCATTGGCCGAGAGAACAGAATTAAAGACGTACCGCTTCGGAAAAGTCTCTTTCTTTGTGTTCGGATGGAAGTGTTTGTGTGTTAGCCTAGCTTAGCATAAAGACTGGAAGCAGGGGGGAACTGCTAGCCTGCTCTGACCACTGTTAAAAAACACATCTACAGACTTTTAAAGCTGATTTAAAATGAATACACACACACAGAAATGTTCTCTGGAAGAATACTAATATTGTTTTTATTTATATCTTTTTATACAGCACAGAGTTACAGAGCGCGACACATAAAAGCAAAGAATACATAAAACATACCATAAAAACACATTAAAACTATGAATGGATTAAAGTACTAAACCAACCATGTAAAAAAAGTAAAATAGTAAAACCTGTAAACAGAATAAAAACTATAATCAGATTTTAAAATAATAAGTTTGTATCTAAAAGCAAATTTCCCAAAATGTTGAACTGTTCCTTTAAAACTGTTATTATGATTGTCTGTCTGTATTTAGTAATAAGAACAAAAACGTCATAAAATTAAACATTTTTATATGACCTCGAAAATGATCTTTTAAAAATAAAAGAACATTTGAGCAGATTTTTATTTTATGTTAATTTTATACACATTTATACATCAAATCTGCCAAATCCTGAAAAGTATATTAGTATAAATATTTCAAATCTCTACAAGAATTTTACATAAAGTTCATTCATTTTTAGAGTTTGTAACTATGGAATCAAATGTCCCTAAATACACAGTAAATAACCACTTCACTGTATTTTTATTTCATTAAATTAAATTACCTCACTGTGCTTACAGCGCCCTCTGTTGGCTACCTTTGTACTTCAACACCTTTTTTAGAGAAAGTTGAATTAAATCAATTTGCAATTCGTTATCTTTCCCTTTCAGCCCCGGCGTCGGTGTCCGAGGTAACCGTCGCAAACGGCGGCAGGTCGGACGCTCTGCAGGTGACTTGGCGCCCAGCAGAGGGCGTGGTGGACAGCTACCTGGTCCGTCTTCAGGACAGGAATCGAACCATCCACACTCTGGCCGTGTCCCGCACCTCGCTGCCCGAGTGCACCTTCAGCTCGCTGGTTGCCGGGCGACTGTACTCGGTCGTCATAGTGACGAGGAGCGGCAGCCTGGAGAACGCCACCACGATTCAGGCACGAACACGTAAGTAGGGTTGATGGTTACGGTCATATCGGACGTTCATGTTAATGTAAGTTTCTGTTTAAATTTACTGTAAAAAAACAAAAAAAAATAAGAAAGGGAAAATAACAGAAAATAACTGTTTTTATCTTTAATTTTACATGAAATCTTTTTGTCTTTTTAAAGATATTTACACGTTTTACATTATTAGATTTTTCTTATTTTAGTCTGGATTTTAAAAGTTATAGAACTGTAATAAAACTCATCTGTGAAATTACAGTAATTTTTGCTGTTTTCACTGATAAATATAATAATAATTATCTGTCAGTTAACAAACAAATCTATGTATTTACACAATAAATACTTTTTTTTTACTGTTAATGTCACTAATTTAACATTTTACATAAACAGTATTTAAGTTGAATTTAATAGTTGAATTTATTAAATAAATAGTAAATTGTCTTTTTATGTGAATTTTACATTAGATGTAAATTTACAGGCTAGTTTTGTAATTGTATTAATATTTCCATGTATTAAAAATGTAAAAAATCTGTAAAATAAACAACGTAAAATAACGTAAAATAAAAAGATTTGTATTGTTTTTTGTATAAGATTGTATTTAAAAACGTACTCAGTATTTTTTTGTACATTTTCTTCTTGCAGAACCGGCGACTGTTCAAAACCCAACAGCTGTTCACTCTGCAAGAGACGACTTCCTCAAGGTTTGTCAGAAGTGTAATAAATAACTTCTTCTTACATTTTAAATTGTATATCGAGGTGTTACCCTGTACTCTTCAGTGTCACTGTGGTATGTTTGGGACAGAGAACATTTATTCTGTGCACTGTGAGCAGTACCAGCAGTATTTGTCCTGTGTGGTGTGTTCAGGTGTACTGGCGTCACGCAGCTGGAAATCTGGACCGTTACGTGGTTCTGATCCGTTACAACCACAGCACGCTGCAGAACAAGAGCGTCTCCGCCGGAGACAACGAGTGCGTATTCTCGTCTCTGACGCCGGGGAGACTGTACACCGTCACTGTGGAAACCTGGAGCGGAGACTACGTCAGCAGCGTCTCCACGGACGGACGCACCTGTGAGTCAGAAACCAGGGACACAAATCTGACATATGACACGATATGTGTTTGTCGTTTGGATCTTTTACGGATTATTTTGAGTTCATGTTTGTTTTTTTACTTCAGTTCCAGCAGCTGTTGGGAATCTGTCGCTAGGCAACGCAGGAACAGGTGATCTGACGGTCACCTGGAGCCCCGCCCCCGGAGATGTGGACCACTATGAGGTGTGTGTTTGTATTTTTGTACAATAAGATAATTATACAATAAGTGTGTTTTCTTATATGATCTGTTACTGCGTTATGATGTTAATGCAATACTCAACACTTCATGTAGCAGTTTCAAATTAAAAGCCCTCTAGCGTTTCAATTGACACGAGACTTTTATTGTGAAACATTTGCAGGATCGTGTTGTAGAAAATTCAGTGACTCACACAGTTCTCCTACAGTACTTCAAAGGTAGCTACTGCCATCTTGTGGCACTTGTACGTTTCTACAATACACAGTTTGACCAAAACAGGACAATAATGTTTTAAAATGAGTATTTCAGAACAACAAAATAACCCGATTATATTGTTGAATTTTCACTTGCAGTCAGAGATATTTAATAATGGCGCCTCTTTTTCTTGCTTTGTTTCTTTTTATTTTTACTGTTTTGTAAGGAGTTCGGTCTAGACCTGCTCTATTTGAAAAGGGTCCTGAGATAACTTCT